GTGGGGGGCGGGGGGTGGGTGTTTAGTTAGCGTGTGAATTTTTGCTTCAAAGGATTGTCCAAGTTAACATGTTGCTTTCTTACCTACCACTAAATACTATCCAAAAAGTCTATAAGTCTCATTTGTTTTTATTATGATTAAGACGTGTGATTTTTAATACACATTTTAATATTAATATGTATACTAAAATTAAAATATCTTAATCTAAATGCGCATCTGAATATTAAAATATTGTATTAAGATCTGAATACTAAATAATTAAGTTTGTTTATTTTTTCTACTTCTGAATATGTAAAACTTGTCTTTATTTAAAAATTAATAAGTATAACTTCAAATCAAATAGTACTAATTTTAATATAATACTACATTAAACAAATATTTTTAAAAATTATTTGGTAGTTGATAGTGATGATGGCTAACAATGGTGGTTGTGGGTGCCGACTAATGTGAAGACCCGATAGGTCTTCTTATGATTTAAAAACTAAACTCTGTGTTCCGAGGCCTTAAAAAACTCATTTTATCCCTTCTCAATTTGCGTGCGCAGTCTGGGCGTGTTTTTGGAAAGCTTTTGTGTTGAAAGTTGATAAAAATAAGGATTTTTGATTAAAAATTTCATTTGAGATGACTTCGGTCAATATTTTCGGTAAACGAACCCGAATTCGTGCTTTGATAGTCCCGATGGGTCCGTATCAAAATATGGGACCTCGGCGTATGCCCGGAATCGGATTCGGAGGTCACTAGCCCGGGTTATGAATTTTTGTAAAACTTGAAATCTGGAAAATTATTGGTTTTTAAGAAAAGTATTGATGTTTCATCTTGTTGGTATCGGGTCTGTATTTTGGTTTCGGAGCTCGGTACATGTTCAATATAATATTTAAGACATGTCTGTGAAATTTAGTGAGAAACGGAGTTGGTTTGACGTGATTCGGACGTCCGGTTGTGAAAATAGGAATTTCAAAGTGTTCTTGAGAATTTTCATTTGATTTGGTACTAAATTCGTGGTTTTAAGTGTTATTTTGGTGATTTGATCGCACGAGCAAGTTCGTATGATATTTTTAGACTTGTGTCCATGTTTGATTTGGAGCCCCGAGGGCTCGGGTGAGTTTCAGATAGGCTACGGAATGAAATTGGACTTAAGCATTGCTGAAATCTGCAATTTCTGGGAATTGGCCTCTGATCTCGCATTTGCGAGAGTTCGCATTTGCGAGCATTACAGCTTCGCATTTGAGAGCTACTCATCGCAAATGCGAAGAGTAGCTGGGCCAAGCAATCCTCGCATTTGCGAGAAAATCTTCGCATTTGCAAAGTTGGTCTGGGGAAGAGGTTCTTCGCATTTACGAAGAAGGGGGTCGCAATTGCTATCCTAGTTCCGCATTTGCGAATAATATGTTCGCATTTGCGACAGAAGCAGAAATGAGGCAGGTTTGTATTTGCGATGCCGTTCTCGTATTTGCGAGCTTCGCACAGGTCGCAAATGCGACATCTGCAGCTGTGTAAAAGTGAAGTTAGACGGGATTTTTCATTCATTCTTCAAATTTTCAAAACCTAAAACACAAGAGAAGATTTTTCAAAGACTTTTTCTTCCCCAAATCATAGGGAAGTGATTCTAAACTAGTTTCTTTCAATCGTTCACTTCAGTTTACAATATTTCAACCTAGAATCTACGATTTTCATGGTGGAATTGGAAATTTTCGGGTAGAAACTAGGGATTTCAAAATTTGGGTATTTAGACCTCAAATTGAGGTCGGATTCTAAAACTAATTGTATATCCAGGCTCGGGGGTGAATGGGTAATCGGGTTTTGGTACAAATTTCGGATTTGGACCAAGCGAGCCCGGGTGTTGACTTTTTTAATAATGGCTTAAATTGAATTCTTATCGATCGTGGGTGATTCCTAAGGCTTATTTTGAAATGTGTGGTTGGTAATTTGCTAGATATTGTTGGTTCGGAGGCGTGTTTGAAAGGCAAAAGTGTGATTGAGCTTTGGGTGGCATTTGGAGCGAGGTAAGTGTTGTGTCTAACCTTGACTTGAGGGAATTTGGAACCCTCGGACTTTGTGTTATGTGAATTCCATGTGAGCGGCGTATATGCAAGATGACGAGTGCTTATACGCCGCCGAATTATCTGTTTTCCTTGATTTATCGCTTTTCCTTAATTGTTTTCCCTCCTATCTTAATTGTTACATGATCTAAATGCTTTCCATGCTTAATTGCTACGTGTTAATCAATATTTTCTTCTGTTGACCATGTTAGCTCTTTTCTTAGTTCCTCTAATCCCTGTTATTTGCTTAATTTGACTTGTTCGTACCTTCTAACTGTAAATTGCTGGTTTGGTCTCGCTGTGTAGTATTATTTGTGTAGATTCTATACTGAACAAGGTTCCTTTTCTTGGTTCAGTTTGGTATTTATTTATCGTAAAGGCCTTGTGATTTAGCCTGTTGATTTGACTATGTACATTGACTGTTTGGCATGATGTGGTGGGATTGGGTTGCACGCTGCAATAGGTGTAATAAGGGAGGATTGATATGGTGGAATAAGGGTGAATATGTATATACGCTGGGATCGGATTGCGCGCCATACCAGGTGGAATAAGGGTGGATTGATATGGTGAAATAAGGGTAAATTATGATATTGATATTGATATATGGTGGGATCGGGTTGCGCGCCGCAACAAACATATATATTATTTACTGTTATTGATATTGTTATGGTGGAATAAGGGAGGATTATGTGTTGTCTAGTGGGATCGGGTTGCGCGCCGCAACAACCTATATGCTTATATTTCTTGAGCTGCTTTATTTTTCTGGTGTTTTTATTTGAGCTGGTAGAGATTGGTAATTTTGGACGACACTGGTTTAGTTTCAAGGCTGTGGTTATCATCTCCTATTGGCTGTTTAATTCTGTAACGTATTTCAATTATTCTGTCATTATTATATATTGCGTACAGGTTTTAGCGTAGGTGACCCGCCTTAGACTCGTCACTACTTCGTCGAAGCTAGGCTTGGGACTTACTAGTACATGGGGTCGGTTGTATTGATACTTCACTCTGCACAATGTGCAGATTTTGGAGACGGTCCCAGCGGCGGTTACTAGAGAGCTCGGATCATGCAGCTTATGGAGACTTGAGGTACAGCTGCTCAACGCTCGCATCTCCTGAAGTCCCCATCCTCTTTTCTTTTTAGCTGTATAACTTCATTCAGACAGCTTTGTACTTATTTCAGACCTTTATGTTACTTTAGAAGCTCGTGCACTTGTGACACCAGGTTCAGGGAATTGTAATAGACGTTTAGCAGTTTTTATATTTCGCACTAATATTTTAGTTATTCCAGTTATCTCTTGTATTTAATTCAACTGTTAAAGATGGATGATATGTTCTAACGTTGGCTTGCCTAGCAAGTGAAATGTTAGGTGTCATCACGGTCCCGATGGTGGAAATTCCGAGTCGTGACAACTAGGTAGTAGCTGGTGGTGGTGTTGGTTGATTGTGGTGATTATTGGTAGTAGATGGTGAATGACAATAGTAGTTAACAGTGGTGGTTGATGGTGGTGGCCTGGTGACTAATAACAATGATGGGTGATATATTATGGTGGTTGATAGTGGTAATTGATGATTGTTGTGGTAATGATGGTTGGTGGTGAGGGTTGTAAATGATGACTAGCGGTAGTGACAACTGACATTCGTGCTTAGTAGTGCTGGTGCTTGCGGCTAAGGATGGTAGTAGTGGATGGTGGTAGTCTATAATAGTGGGGGACATCGATAGCAGTGATGATGATTAATGATGAAAGTGTAGGAGTAATAGTGAAATATTATTTTTACATAAATTCTTGAATGTATAAAATCTTAATGATATTAAGACTTTATTATAAATCTTAATCATGAAGATCTATTCAGACCCATTAAGTGGTTGTAAAATTGAAAAAGCAAACAGACTTAATGGTTAATGGTTATGATATGAATGATTAAAATTCAGAAGTAAAAAACAAATGCAATTAATGACTGAGATGTGGAAGATTAAAGTTCAGACCTCCATTAAGTGCAAACAAATGAGGCCGTAATACATCTCTCCTTCTAATACAAATTAGAAACGGCAAAATTTAAAATTTATGCGTTAAAGAACTTGCCATTGAACATATAACTTATTTATTAGTAAATTCGTAATTAAATATTTATGTATTTTTTAATAAGACACCATGTAATGCCTCAAAAATTTATATACATAATTTTTAAAGTCTTACCCGTACATTTAGTAGCTTTCACGGACTTCCCTATGATCAAAAATATTTTAGCTAAATTAATTTGGCATTATGACTTTGAAAAATCAAGAGGGCATTAATTAATATTTTCCAAATCCATCCTTATCTAATAAATGATCAACAAAATATGACGATATACAAAGAGTAATTTAAGAAGATATAAAGAATTTTAGTTAAATAACACGTATATTAATATTATTAAATAATTCTTTTAATGAGCATGTCAAAAACTTAGAAGCACTTATTTTGAACAAGAGATGTCATCGTCTAAGAAATTATCCATAGCTATTTTAATAACTTGACATTATCAGTAAAATTTATATTATCAAGGCATATAAATTAAGAAAAATTTACATAATACTGATTAGCACAACATAATGCGCTATTCATTACTAGTGAAAGAAAGAAAGGTAAATAACATTGTAAATTAATCAAGGAAAAAAAATAAATTAGTTAGGTGATAAGATTCTACAGTACCAATATATCCAAACTCATCAAGTTTAAAATTACAAACTAATCCCTCTGGACTGATATTCCATTAAAAATCCAAAGGATTATGCAAAATCTAAGGAAAAGAAATATGAATAATGTAACACAAACTTACATTACATTAGATCCTCTGAATTGAAGTCACAACTAAAAGATAACCATCAAAACTAGAGGATCAATCCAACCCCATAATAACTTACAAAAATTAACCCATTAATCCAATAACGAAAAAAATCAAAAGGGCAGCTCGGTGCACAAAATATCTTGTATTTAGGCAGGATCAAGATAAGGACTGCACCTCAGGTGTATAAAGTAAGCAGTCTACCTTGACGCAAGCATTAATAACCGACTCCACGGCTCAAACCGTTGAGCTATATATCACAGATACAACTTTACCGGTGCTCCGGCTAATTAATCAAGATTTACTAATCTTCAAAACCAGTTTGTTTCCAAATAGCATTTCTTACCCTACTCAAATCTCTTCCTTTAAGTGTTCTTCCAATACCTTCATGTACTGAAAATGAAGCAACTCTTGTTCTTGCTAAATATTCATGTGGTGGAATTCCACTTTCATAATCAAAATCTTCAACAACATTATTATCATCAATTTCTTTCGGACAACTCCTGTACTCTTCCCCTAGAATTTTCGACCAATCCGGTATATTCACCGGCAATGATGTTGACGAAATTGCCCTTGATCTTTCACTCTTTTTCCCTGTTTTTTTCAAGAATCTTGAATTGGGTATTGATATTTTGGCTTCAGAATTATGAACAACATTTTCGTTTGAACTAGTGTTGTTACACCATATTTCAGCTTCGTCAAATTCAAACTGGAGGCTGCTAGAGGGGAGAGGGGTAACTCTGTCTTTTCCTCCGAGAAAGAGGAAGTTTTTTCTTGTTGCCATTGGGAAAAAGGAAATGAATATTGAGAGAGGAGATGTAGAAGAAGAAGAAGAGTGTTGTTTGTTATTTGTTAGGTTTGTAATAGTTAAACTGTTTGTGTTTGATTGAAGTAAGGGATATATATAAATAATTGAGTTGTATTGGATAAGTTCTATTTCAACCTCTTTTTATTTGCTTGTTTTGGTTTTTGTACTATAGTAACTAGATAAGACTTTACCATCATTAGTACACATTGGAAAAAAATAATTTTTACTTTTTTATTTTGGATTATCATGGTTAAGACTTAGGACCACGGTTTCTAACTCACAAATACGTGTATGTATGTAATTCTATTTAGTTCATTGTTAAATAATATGCATTTATGATAAGTTCAACTTCTTTATCACAAAACAATAATGAAGTGACTCGCTACACCTATTTTTTTACTAATAAGGATCTAAGTTACATAAAGTGGTGGAATGTGATCATACCATCACTAACGCATCGATCCCATCAGAAAGAACCACTAATAGATGGGGCTGCTCTTCCGTTAATTAAAGGTCTCGAGTTCGAACCATGGATATGAAAAAATCCTTAGTAGGGAGCGCTTTTCCCCGAATGGGTCCATACGCGACGTGAATCCGAATAGTCAGGCTCCAATACGGATACCGGACACCGAACACCGGATGGTTTTTTTTACATAAAGTGAACATAAAAATAGATTTTTATTGTTAAAGATTGAGTACTTCCTTCGTTTCTTTTTATTAGTTCTATATTGACTAGGCACGTCTCTCAGAAAATTATTTATTACAGTAAGAGTTTATTTTATTAAATTATCCTTCTTAATAGTTACTATTAAAGTTGTAACTCTAATTAAATTGAGGAGTATGGATACTTAATACTAAGGGTATAAAGAAAACAATTAAGCTCTCTTGTTTTGAAGTGGACAAGCGAAAAATATCATTTATAAGGGATTAGTAAAATCGTATGGAGAAAGTATGTGAGTAGCATGTTACTAAGCATTTTTATTAAGTTATTATTAGTTAATGCTCAAAAATATTTTTAATTCTTTTTCTTAACAATGCATAAAAAGTACGTACATAGTAATTAACTTCCTTGCTTAGACGGTAGATTTGACTTGGTGTGATAGACTTTACCGATAAAGTAAGTTGAATGCAGGTTAGCTTGAAAAAAATATTCAAATAAATTGACTTTTACTTCTAGGCCCCGTTTGGCCATGAGTTTTGCCAAAATAAATTTGGAATTTATTTTGAAAACTCATGTTTGGCCATAAATTTTGCCCACATTTTGGCCAAATCCCAAATCTCAAATCTCAAATCCCAAAATCAGCTATTGAGCTGATTTTGGGTCAAAATCCCAAAACTTGGGAATTATATACATATTTTTACAAAATAAAGTTGGAAAATATGTTTTGAAAACGTATGTCCAAACATATTTTCATCTTCAAACCAAACTTCACCCAAATCAGATTTTTCAAAATAAGTTTGGGATCTATGGCCAAACGCTAGCCTAGTAACTACTTTACTTTGCATTTTTATAATTCAAATATGCAATTTACACGTGATACTTCATGAAAGTTTCAAATGCAGATCCCAATAAATTTATGGCATGGGTTCCTAGTTCATTAGCAGCTACCTATGATCTTTTATGCCCCCCCACCCCTCCCCCTCCCCTTCCCCCCAAACCTAAAAAAAAAAAAAAAACATATTCCTTTGGGTTCTAATAAGGTAAAGTCATTAGATTTAATACTAAGAAATTAAAGACCGGCAATCATAGTGCATGCATCAACCTAGACTACTAAAGAAGGATTTAATAGTTCGAGTCGAACAATGCTTGTATAATAATATCACAATGTTTCATTTTAAACTTTTTCATGTTTCGGTTTTTATGAAGGGCAAAAGACCAAATATACTTCCGTCGTAATATTATTGGTTCAAATATACACTTTTTTTATTATGTTTGTCAAAGGTGGACATCGAATCCTACGTGACACTGATATTCGATAAAGTGGATGCCACATGGCATGCCATCTCAGCGTCCCTAATCCATATATAAAAGAGTAAAATTTAAAATACAATATCTTTTTCATGGTATGGCAATAGTGGTGGAGGGGAAGGAAATTATAGTGGTGGAAAAAAAATAGAAGGGAGGGGTAAAATGGGTTAGGGGCGCTGAGGTGGTAAGCCATGTGGCATCCACCTCATTAAATGTCAGTGCCACGTAGGATTGGATGTCCACTTTGGACAAACTTAACATAAAAGAGGTGTATTTAAACCAATAATATAACGACTGTGGTATATGGACTGGAAGCATGACGAATGGTACAGTTAAATCTTTTATGATAGTACATGGGTATATTTGGCTCTTTTCCGTTTTATGAATTGTCTCTAACGGACATTTTAAAAATTTAAATAAAATGAGATGATCACATGATTTAATGAATTATCACAGTATGCAGGAATTATGAATTCACATCTCACTTCCCAAAAAAAAAAAGCAAAGAATATATTCACATGGTTGATATATTAAAAAGAACGGATTAGATCGATGTATGTTAAGAGTATAATTAAATAAAAAAATATGTAATTTTAACCGTTTATACATAAGAGAACCACACATTTTAGCAAGAAAAAAGGTACATATATAGCTTGACTTTACTGTGATCTTGAATTATTTTTTCAGTACGACACTATGACCACCACCAAATACAATTGACCAATTAAATTTCAACAGAATTGCAAAAAGAAAAAGTAGGATATAAATGTTTTTAAATAATTAGGTGACGAAATAATGGATATATAACAATGGAAAGTGATCGTTCTCTATGCTAATTTAAATACTGTATCTTAACCAGCTTGTCTATTAATGATATTTTCCTAATTTTATGGAGATTTAATTTAACGAGGGATATTATGAAAAACAAGATTCTACTCGCTCACCAAAGATTTTTAAGCTATCCAAACAACCAATTTACTTATCTTTCAAAACGTGCTGTAGTCAGCAGATACTTTATACTTGTTGGATTATTGAATGTAACTAACATTATTAATCGAACGTATCAAATCTTTTAATGAATTTATAACTATCTATGTAGTTTAAAACTAAAGTTCTTCCAAAACTTTTCATACTTTTCTAGTCCATATTATTGATTAGCAGATATGTCAATGCCAGAGCCACCTTAGGTTAAGGGTGTCAATTGATACTCCTTCGCTCGAATTTTTTTACTATTTAACTAGGTTAAAATTTTATTTTTATGGATATTCTATATATTGACTCCCCTTATTTTCTCAATTTAGTTTATTTTTTTATATTTTGACATCCCTTAATAAAAAAATTGGCTCCGTCACTGAATATGATCTTTTTTAAACTTTGGTTAAAGCTTAAGGCATGGAATGTTAGACAATCGACGAATTACTATCTGAGTCTTATCCTGATCCATATTGGTCCAAAATGGATTTTTTTAAGGTTATTTTCTTCTATGCAAATTGTAACTGTTTGCAAGGCGATTTTAGCATAAGATTTGTCCTATACTATTAGTTCACGAAATTAATCAAAATTATTTTAAAGGAAAAAAAAAATGAAAAGAGGAGACATGGTCTCACCCATGAGGCTGTATGCATAATAGCTAAAGATTGAAAATTACTCAATTATCTGAGATTGACACGTAGGATATTTGTTGGATCAATCATTGATTTTGGAAAATATAAATAAATTAAATAATACAAAAGAAGATAGCATAGTTTATCCAATAAAAATGACAGGTGAAACGTGGACGAATCAGAAACTTTAATCTCAAAACTGAAAAATAGAAAATCGATATGTAAGTGATAAACTTTATTTTTGTGGGACAATCTTTTCTTTTTCAACCCATCACTTAAGACTTTTACAAGACATGAAAAATGTTCTTATCAAGACACGTCACGTTCAAGAGTTTCTCATCTTGCCTACGTATTTTCTTATGGAAACTTCTCGATTACAAGTAATCTAAGTTTTTTTATTGTTTTTTCAACGTGATAAGATTCAGAATATTGCCAAATTAATCGGTTCCAAGTAATATAATGTCAAATCATATTTTGACAGAACACAGGAACCTAATTCTTTGAGTTCTTCATTGTAGCTTGCTTAGGTGTTGATTTTGACACACCAATTTGAAATTACTATATCCGTTAAAGAAAAATTAACATTATTTTCTTATTACGTTGTCCGAAAAAAATAGATTTATTTTTAAATATAAATAATTTGCCTTAAATTTGGAGTATAATTTTATTCTAAATAATAAGTTTTTATGGTCGCAGAAATATTATATGTGATATTTAAAAACACAAAATTCGGAACTCTATATCTGATTAAACTATGCTATTATCAATTGAAACTACTGGAGTATGTAATAGCATTAACTGTAAATGATATTATTCTTCTCTCTTCCTTACAGCTTGTTTGGACAATTGTTATCTATATTGTATTGTATTATTACTTTAAATATAATATTTGTTTTGATTGTTACTTAAATTTTATAGTATCGTATAGTTAGATTCATCGTTACGTAACGACTAAAAGTGCCATTTTTGACGGATTTGGTGTGGTACGTAGTATCGTTATCTTTTCCTTTTCTCTCATCTTGCCCTTCCTTATTATTATTATTATTATATATTTTATCCCTTACCTTACTTTTTCCTATAATAATTCTACTTCGTATCCTATTTTTTTCTAGTAATGTTGTAAGTTCATATTATTAATATATGACATCATAAAACGATGACAGATGATAAAACGACATGTAACAACAATCTAGCATGCCTTCAATTTCATTATGCTTATACATTACCTAGATAACAACAACATATCCAGTATTATCCCACCGTGGGGTCTGAGTTATACGTTACCTAGATATAAGATTTTAGTGTTACTAATCACTATCCCATCTTCTATATGATACTATCCTTCTGCCATCAAAAATAGAATTAACATTAAATCAGTGGATACTGAATGCTATGACATTTACTAATTTTTGTGTGACAATTAGTTCGAGTCAAATGTGTGTGCCTATGCATATTAGTAAATCTTGAAATTTGATTATTCGTGTGTTTAGTTAACCTATCAATGAACTTTTCCC